GAAAGGCAAGGATGCGAGTGGACTTGCACCTCCACTTATACCACAAGTGGAAGCATCGAAAGCTGCCCCAGCTTTCGGTGCCTCGAACTAGAAATATAATGGTGAGTTAGAGCGGGAGTCCCCAACAGGGTGCTCGTGGGCGCCAGGGCGCCCTCCCTGTGGTCCTAGCGAGCCCCACTCCTGCTCCCGGGCATTGTGCTCACAGCCACTGAGGCCAGCCAGGAGCCTCCGGGGTTCCGGACCTTTTAGCTTGCCGGATTCCCCTCCGAGGTGATCTGCCTGCACTCAGTCAGTAACTCCAGACACCAGAAGGTAGGGAAATATCCCAGTTTTAGTAAACTGCTCAGGTTACAAAGAGCGCATGCTGGTCCTGGAGCCCCTCTTAAGGCGCAAGCAATGGCAAATAAAGAAAGAATAATACTGAACTACATCTGGCTGAAGGCTGTCTTACTATACGTTAAAAGCTTGCTGGCTCGCTCGTCGAACGCAGGCCCGCCACGTGGCTTTTGCTCGCGGCCTTTAGAGTGAAAGTCTGTTCCATGCCAGACAGTCCATGTCACCGGGGGGTGGGGAGTGGATAGAAGACGCAGCCTCTTCTCACCTGTCGGTAGAATAGCCGGCCTCCCACTCTCCGAGCGAGGCACCCTTTCAGACGCCCTTGCCCTCAGAGGCCCACGAACCTATTAGCCATTCAGGACACACTAAGCCAGTTGGCACTGGTAGGTTGAAACAACTTAGGGGAGACTTCCAAGGACGGTTCTTTTTAGAGCCAAAAGCCCCAGGTGGATGTAGTTGAAACCAGCCCATTGCTCTGAGCAGGCTGGGCCGGGGGCCTGCCAAAACTTTGCCAAGTGTTGTTAGAGAACAGGTGGGGCCTGGTGGGGCTTGTTGCTCAGTGAGGCTTCTGGTGGGACACTGGGGGTCCAGTTGGCCGCCCGGACTCTTAAGACGGTCGCCTTGGCAGCGGCTGCCTCCGCAGCATCAGGGGTCTTCTCCACTGGGTGTGACGGAAGGGAAGCTGCAGCAGCCCTTGTGTGGAGAGGCCCGCCGCGCGGTGCCATGGTTCCAAAGGTGCCCACAGCATCAGAAGGGCTGGGAAGCTCAGAGTTAGGGTTTGACCTGTTACAAGTGTGTGGCATGCCATCTCATAGCTGTGGTAGCCCTATATTACCAGCATTCATTTTTACGATACAGTTTGCCAAAAGCCAGCCAAGCATGGATGCAATCTCGCGCGATTCCGTTCCACTAACGTTGGACTTCTCTCTCGCTTCTCCTTTCCCCCCTTTGCAGACCCAGAGTTCTGCTAAATCCGCTAGTTCCAGCGTAGATGCATCCCCGGCGTCTGCATGGCTCTCGCAAACCTCTCCAGGAAATGCACTTCAACCTCTTTCTTCTATGGCTGCCTCTAGAAATGAGTAAGCCCTGAGGGGATGTGACAATCAATTTTGTTTTATGAAGACCTTAAACTTTGGGTAATTGATGCTCCTACTAGAACGAGGAGAGACTCCCGCTCAGAACATCTTGTATGAGGAGCTCCTCCAATGCACCCTCTACCTGTTGATTAGGATAATTCTTTTTAATTTGTGTTTTCCTGTTGATTATATACAAAATTTGTGTATCAGATGAACCTTTTCTTGATGCAAGCTATGATAGTTGGGTGCTGAATTTCCTTTTCATAAAGCTGAGGCGTAAGGACCATCTTGCTAAATGGAAATTGGTCCTGTGTGTTCCTTCTTTTAAAAATTTATTCTAACTACCTACTTCTTGTGTAGGCGTGTAATTCACATAAAGGTGAATACTGAGAATTACTTTGTAAACTTAAAAAAAACACGTTTGGGGCACTTTTTATGAAGTACAACAGCTGAAAAATAAGTGACCGGTAGATGTATAAAGAAACAGAGAGGTTAGAAGTAACTCTAAGGTTAGACCTGGAGGTTGGAGCACTGCGGGAAGCCGATAAAGGGGGGGCGAAAGGAGAAAAAGGATGCAGAACAATATAATTTGTGATATATGTGTGATTTTAATTATATCCTAATAAATTGTTTGGGGGGGAAATGTTTGGGGCACGATAACCTAGCACAAGCCTGTCTAAAAATGGGCAGACGAAACTGGAAGCCCTGTCCTTTTCTGTTTAAATCATTTGTATTGTTGCAGTGTGGGTGTTAGAAACTGGAATTTATGGATAGTCCCCAAATAATGCTGATGATTTCCGCTGGTGATTGTCGAGAGTCACCAGTAAATGTGACTCTGAAAAATACACCTGAAAAGAGCGCCTGGAAAACACACCTGTTTAAAGTGGAATCTTTTCTTCAGGAGTGTTTGTAAGCAGGTTGTTTTTTTACTTCTGCTCGGCCTTCAAGATTTCTCTGGAACCTAAGGCTGCCCTTCTCTGCTTTATGTCCTTGCCAGGGCTCCCTTTTCACAGCTGATTGAAGAAAATCTAAGCTATCTCAGCAATTTTAGCTCCATGATACAAGATGCCGCGGGCAACCAGAATGACAGCGTGATGGTAAGGCAGAGGAAGCGTGAACTGGTCTTCTTTTCTTTTCTTTCTTTTTAATGAAGGCCAGTCTAAAAACCAGGGGGTTGATTCTCCAGCCCCCTTGAGGTCCAAATGCAAGGAGTGGCTTTCTCTCCCTCCTGCAGGGAAGCAGGGACAGCTCTTCACAAACACTTCCCCTTCCCTCTGGTGTTCACGGTATTGAGACAAAATGGCCTCTTCTGTTTCTGTGAGAATATTTTGAATCCCATCCACCACCACCACCCCAATTTCATCCTGATATCCTCCTTAGCATACATTTTGTTGGACCAACGTGTGGGAGTAAGAGGGGGGAGGGAGAGTCTTTCGGCCCTCTCTGTCCATCCGTCCCCTTACACACACTGTTGGCTCTTTCATTTGTCCTTGCCACAAGGGAGGGGCTGTGGCTCCGCGAAAGAGCCTCTGCATTTGGCATGCAGAAGGCCCCAGGTTCAATCCATGGCACCTCCAGTTGAAAGGACCAGGTCATAGGTCATGTGGAAGACCTCCCCCTGAGACCCTGGCGTGGTGTAAAGAGGGGCTGTGGCTCAGTGGCAGAGCCTCTGCTTGGCATGCAGAAGGTCCCAGGTTCAGTCCCCGCCATCTCCTGTTAGAAAGGACCAGGCAGTAGCCTGAGACCCTGGAGAGCTGTCAAGAGGGGCTGTGGCTCCGTGGAAGAGCCTCTGCTTGGCATGCAGAAGGTCCCAGGTTCAATCCATGGCACCTCCAGTTGAAAGGACCAGGTCATAGGTCATGTGGAAGACCTCCATCTGAGACCCTGGCGAGGTGTAAAGAGGGGCTGTGGCTCAGTGGCAGAGCCTCTGCTTGGCATGCAGAAGGTCCCAGGTTCAGTCCCCGCCATCTCCTGTTAGAAAGGACCAGGCAGTAGCCTGAGACCCTGGAGAGATGTAAAGAGGGGCTGTGGCTCCGCGGAAGAGCCTCTGCTTGGCATGCAGAAGGCCCCAGGGTCAACCCCCGGCATCTCCAGTTAAAAGGACCAGGCAGCAGGTGATGTGAAAGACCTCTGCTAGAAATCCTGGAGAGCGGCAGCCAGTCTGAGTGGACAATGCGTGTGCTCTTTCCTAGCAACGTGTGGAAGACTACTGACTGTTGCCCTCTTTTCTTCTAGAGTCTTGATTGGAGCTGGCTAAAGTAGTGGAGTGTCGCAAGCAGCCTGCTGAAACCAGCACGCGGGAGGCAGAGGATCGTCGCCACCACTTTTCAGAGGTTATGGGCTGCGGTGCCTGAGACGCATCTCTTCCGTCCTGGATCAATCACCATGCCTTAAAGGCCGCTGCACCTGCCGGAGTAGCTTGTGGCTGCGGAAGTCCTTCCTCTGCATCCGTCCCTAAGGGGGTCCCGTGCCCCCTTCAGGTCAGAGTTCCACAACTGCTGTTCACACCAGCCACAGGCCACCCTCCCCCCATTTGCAAGATCGAGATAAAACTAAAGGGCGCTACTATCCCTTGAACCGAAGAGAACCCCGGTCGGAGGTGGAGATGGCGTCTCTGCCAGGTCACCTGGTGATCCGCAGCCCCTCTTGGAACGCCGCCGGCCCTCCTCCTCCTTGGCACAAAGAGATTGCGCCGTCTGGATGGAGGATCTCCTGCCTTGGAACCCAGGATGGAAAACACCGAAAACAGGACATGGTGCCCGGTAGCGGATCACTGAGAAGATGTGCAACAAGAAGGCCGCCCCCCGCCCCCATAAATACTTACCGTGAGCTTTGTGTGTCGGTGCCTTTTCTTCCTCTCCATTTCCTCCAGAGATGATTGGTGCTTGTCTTCCTTTCAAGCATCCTTGGTATATTTTGTTGTATGAATGAATGAATGAATTTTATTGTTACAGCGCTTAGCCAGCAATATAAAACCATAAAAATAAATTACAATATGGCCAAACGGTAAAACTTCCAGAATACACAGCAGGGTAATAAGAGACACACTGTACAATCATTTTGATCGCTAAAACCAAACTTAAGACTACGCTGCAATAAAACACAGTAAAAGAGAATAAAATAAGATGATGGAGGTAACAGTAGAAGTAAGAATCGAGCAGTCCTAACCCAAGTGACAACCAGAACACTGATGAGCTTTTACAACCAAGGAGCAAAATTTCGCAATCTGATGGAGCGCTGTATGTTCAAAGTTTAAAAACAAGTTCTCCGTCTTATAATATTTTGTTGTACATTAGCCCTGTTGATTTTTTTTTTTTTGTATTATAAAATGATGTATTACGTGGGCTCGCCTGAAGTAGGCCAGGTTAGAAACGAAAAAAAGTCAATAAACGGCCCGTCAGCACCAGGCACGGTTTGGCTCTTTCCTGGCGGCAGTCAGACTGCTTGGGATGTGGTCGGGGGCCTTGGTCGACACCGCTGTGGACTCCGCGGCCTTTACTTTGCGGCAAGAGCACACAGGCCGTCTCTGGCTGCGGATCTTGCGGGGTGAAGAGCCGGCTGTTAGAACGGACGATGCTGGTGCAGGAAATCCGGCACTGTCGACCTGGTGGGGGAGGGAGTGGCGGGCAGGACCTCGGAGCGCTCACCTTCCCCGGGGACTTCCCTTCTTACTGTTTCAGCGTGTGCTATAACGTTGGTTGGAATGGCACTCTGTGACAAGGGAAGGGGCCGGTTTGGTTCCCGGAGCACCTTCAGAGACTGGTGGGGCTGTAAGCTTTGGAGAGCCACAGCCCTCTGAGGAAGGGTGCTTGGACCAATGCTCCCTCTAAGCTGTGGAGCCTTGCGAGCAAAAATCCAACTTCGTGAGCTACTGGCATTGAAGTTGTGAGCGAGCGGTTTGGCTCCTGCATAAATCAGTTTGCTTTGGAGCCCCAGCCTTTCTGAGCCAAGACAAAAAGTGTGTCAGCTGGAGGCTAAAAACCTGTGAGCTAGCTCACACTCACTCAGCTTAGAGGGAACACTGGCTTGGACTCTTGAGACTTCGTACCCTGTGTGCCGGGGACAGGCTGGGGTCGGAACCCATTTTCCCGGGGTCCTGAGAGCCAGTTTGGCGGAGTGGTTAGGAGCCACCGACTCTAATCTGGGAGAACCGGGTTTGATCCCCCCACTCCTCCACATGAAGCCAGCTGGGTGACCTTGGGTCAGTCACCGTTCTTTCAGAGCTATTCTCTCAGGAGCAGTTTCTGTCAAGAGCTCTCTCAGTCCCACCTGCCTCACAGGAGGGTGTCTGTTGTGGGGAGGGGAAGGGAAAGGAGACTGTAAGCTGCTCTGAGACTCCTTCGGGTAGTGAAGGGTGGGGTATAAAGACAATCTCCTTTTTCTTCTTCTTCCTCATGAGGAAATGCCTGAGAAGTCTCTAAAGTGCTACCAGATTCAAATCTTGCTTTTCTACCGCAGAGCAACACGGCTCGCCTCTGAAAGTTACAGGCAGGTACCCCCCAAAGCGGCCCTATGAAATGTTTTCAGGTCCTTCACAAGCACAGCAGGACTCTTTTGGCCTCCTCACAACTGCTGTTTTCCTAAGAAGCCTCCCAGAGAAAAATGGGAGTGGAGAGTGCCAAACCCTTGGGGGACCGTCTCTGGGAAAGCTCCACTTCCGGATCTGTGTGCAGAAAAGTTGGTTCTTCTTTAAGTAGTGGCTGTGCTTCGTCGTTTTATGCGTTTGAGCCTCTGACCTCTTTGTACCGTTCTGATGACTTTTGATAGGGTTCAAGAATCACACAACACACAGATTTCTTGAATCTGCAGATCAGCTCTGTCTCTCGCTGTTGGAATTCACACACTCTCTTCCTCACGTCCCTCGCCCACAATCTTCCCCACGAGAAGAATTCCCAGGATAATTTTCCTTTCATGTATCTGGAGAAGGGAGGCACGACTCACTGAAGTTCACATTGAAACGAGCGTTGCTAGTGTTTAAGGTGTCTTTTGTTTCATTCTGTCACTCGGTGTCATTTCTGGCGTCGAGATTAAAAGTTTGCAACTGGGAGGACTGAGGAGGGGGAAACACTTTAACTAAGTCCCCGGGGATTAGTAAAAAGGTAAAGGTTCCCTTGCTCGAAAGCCAGTCGAATCCGACTCTAGGGTTGCGGTGCTCATCTCTGTTTCAAAGCAGAAGAGCCAGCGCTGTCCGAAGATGTTTCCATGGTCATGTGGCCGGCATGACTAAACACCAAGGCGCACGGAACGCTGTTACCTTCCCACCGAAGGGGTTCCTATTTATCTACTTGCAATGTCTTCCCCACATTTACATTTGATAGAGTCCTGGTGGAATTCACACAAAGCCTCTCTTCCTCACGTCCCTCGCCCACAATCTTCCCCACGAGAAGAATTCCCAGGATGATTTTCCTTTCACGTATCTGGAGAAGGGAGGCACGACTCACAGAAGTTCACATTGAAACGAGCCTTGCTAGTGTTCGAGGTGTCTTTTGTTTTATTCTGTCACTCTGTGTCATTTCTGGCGTCAAGATTAAAAGTTTGCCACTGGGAGGACTGAGGAGGGGGAAACACTTTAACTAAGTCCCCGGGGATTAGTAAAAAGGTAAAGGTTCCCTTGCTTGAAATCCAGTCGAATCCGACTCTAGGGTTGCAGTGCTCATCTCCGTTTCCAAGCCAAAGAGCCTTCGCTGTCCGAAGACGTTTCCGTGGTCATGTGGCCGGCATGACTAAACACCAAGGCGCACG